TTCTTCTGGTCGTCATCTTGACGCGCCAAGGTGCGATCTGTGTGTGAGTATGTGTGCGTCTGATGGTGTGTGCGCGTGTGGGCGTCGCTCAAGCGTTAAGAAGAAAACCCCCAAACTCACCCAGCACACCCAGCACGGCGTACAGCAGCCACAGCATAGCCACATTTGCGCCATATTGGACGCCATTTTTGTCAAGTCGCATTAAGGCGGCGCTCGTTCGCTCAGCTCGTTCTGCTCGTCTGCTGACGAAAATTGAACGGCCAGCAGAACGAAAATTGTTGTATAAATAAAAGCATAATTGATGCGAGACACACCGAACAGAGGGAAGGAAAACAAAGGGAGCGAGAGAAGGAGCGCCAGAAGGAGGAGTAGTTGACGTAGCAGCAGTCGCACAGCATTCGACTGGCATATGTTGCGTCAATTCAGCCATGAGCAGCGAAAACAAAATGGGGAACCCCCCCAGCATCAGCATCTGCATCAGCATCAGTAGAGGCAGAAACAGGTCGCCACATACCGACTATAAAATACCCAGTAATCGAAATCGGTCTGTTTAATCTGACTCTCATAATTATTCGAGCTAGATGAACTTCTGTTTACTGAAAGATATTATATGGTATAAATTGGAAGAAAGGTTGCTCTAGCTGTAGTCTCCTTGATCTATTATCTGACTGTTACATGCGATTAATTGAAGACAATATACCCGTCACTGTTAAGAGTAATAGAAAGAAAGCAGTGCGGACTGCGCGCAAAAATTGTTCTTCTTTTGCATATTTTACGGGACCCTCACTGCGAAATGACTGTGAAAACAGGTTTGATGGGATGGAAGCGAGATGTCCCCGGCTCCGGCTCCAGCTCCAGCTCCAGGTACTCCTACTGCTGCCTCGCATATCATTTTTTGGGACAGCGCGGACGCCACTCGTATTTATTCAGGGACTTTCCCCTAAATATGTATGTATGTGTGTATGTATGAACGATGTCAGCTTGCAGATTTCTTACTGCTTTCAATTGCTGCTATTTGTTGTTCCTTTTGTGCTCACATGGCGAGAAATTAATTTGAAATTTAAATGCGCATGGAGCAAGTTTGCTGCTGGAAAAAGCGTCTTTGATGACGATAGCGATAACGATAACGATGGTGACGAGTGTGCTTCTATGGCTGGAAAAACATATGTTCTCATCGCCTGCATCTGTGCTGGAATTTGGAATGAGTGTGTGTACAGCATAATGAGCAAGGTGCGACAAATGTTTATGAAGTGTGTCTCCCCCCACGACCATAATGGCCACTATTCGTGGCTCGCTTCCTACCTTCCCCCACTTACTCTTTCGCCGCAGCAAAACGAAACAAATAATAAAACTGGAAATGCTAATTGACTAATTTATTCGAAAAAGTGTGGCAGCCAAAGGTGCAGGACTGCCGTTTGCCCTCGTTTCAGTCCAGGGGTCTGCTTGTAATTTAAAATATTTATTTATGTGTTGTGCGGGCTTTCCCATTGCCCTCTCCTACACCTACTTCCTACCTACCCACCTTCCTGCCCCTGGCGTTGTGTTATTTTTATTTTCAGTTACTGTTTTTGTTGTTGTATTTTGTGTGTGTTGGCAGTGAGGCTTTTGCGCTTCGTCAATCAAAAGCATTTAGAGAGCCAGCGGCAGCTTTAATGCATGCGCGAGCTTTCATTAACAAGTGCCCGGACCACGCCCACTTCTAAGCCGCGCCCACAGAAGCTCAGCGGGCAGCAAAAAAAATCGCATCAGCGGCTTATGCAAATGCCTCTGTGTGTGTGTTCGTCTGTATCTGTGTTCATTTGTCTGGCTGTGTGTGTGTGGGTGTTGAGTGAATACGAAATTATTGTTTACAACTGTAAACTGTAAACTTTTACCCCTCCTCTACGCCTGCCCACTCTCTCTCTCTCTCTCTCCATCTCTCTATCTGTTTCTGTTTGTGTATTTTTTTGTTTTTGTTTTGCATTTAGAAAAACGTTTGCAAACCGCACTAAAAGCGACTTATAACATGTTGAGTGCCAAGAGATTAACAACGGAACGAACGTGTGAGGACTGAGGTGGGTTCCCAATGTGGCCAGCACTGAAAATTCCCTTTTAATGAGGGCTGCGTCCAGTCCCGGGAACGAAGGGGCATTCATAAGCTGCTTAAGGTTTTGGCGTAATCAAAAAATGCTCTTCTTCTGCATTTTTTTTTTAAAAGCATTCGGTGGCACATCAGCATGACAGGCAGCAGAGGATTGGACTGCCCCCACTGCCCACTGTTGGGAGAACTTTGTTAAGCTTGAAATTAACTTGCGGTTCTGTCTGGCGCAACTTTGACGCCTGCAGGTAGGCAATCAATTCGGTTCCTCCCGTTTGTAGTACTCTCCCGCCCCCCACCCCACTAATCCCCTTCCCAATGCACTTGGTTGTATAATTAATGTATGCCTGGTGCCGGGAAAAAGTGTGGCAGCTAAAATTTTTATACAACACAGCAGCTGGCGTCGTTTTAGCGCTAATTACCTCACTCCCAGCCGAGGGTGCAACGCTCACTCTCTGCAAGAGAGAGACGGAGACAGAGCCAGAGACCGAGACCTGAGACCGGGATCCAAGACCCAGGACCGAAGCAGTCGTAATGCCAAATTGCAATTACAGCCAAGTTTCTGAAGGGGGCGGTGGTGGCGCGGTGGGGAGGCTGGTGCCACACTGACATTAAAATGCTTAATGCTCAGGCAGGTATACAAAAATTACGCGCTCTTAAAATTAAAAAAAAAAAAAATGAAACGAGCAAGTAGAAAAAATGTACAACTTGCTTTGGCTCGTTTTTTACTGCCCTGCTGCCATGCCAAGGCAGCAGCCATTTGCCATAGTCTTCGTTTAGGGGAAGCGGATTGCTGCTCATCTTAAAAATTGGCCAGGTGAAAAATTGCAGCTGTCGTTGTTAGTCCTTCATGTGCTGCATGTTGCTGGCGTGGGCCCTGCCTCCTGGCCCCAGAGGCGTGACCGGTCGGACAGGTGGGTTGTGTCGGGGTCGGGGTCGGGCCAGGTCAGACATTCGAAGCGTGTATCGCTCCGGGCAAAAGGTGGGACAAAGCCCATGCCCATGCCCAGGCCCAGCCCAGCATAATTTGAGTTAAAGTGCAGTTGGATGTAGGCCCGAAGCGGAGACGCAGCTCCGCCGTAATACAAGAAAAGAATTATGGAAATGTTCAGGAGTGGGTCGGGGGTTGGGGGTTCGGGAACAACTTTCAACTTACACAGATTTCATCTTAGATTGGAAAACCCTTTTCGATCATTGGGAGGCATTGCGAGGGCCCCGGGATACGCTTTGATTTTCTGTGTATCGACTGCAATCAGCTATAAAATGTGACGGCATCCCCATGAAATTGAAATTGACTTAAGCCTCAGTTGTTTGCACTTGCCTCTGAAGTGGAATTGGGTCTCGTTTTGTTTGTTTGTGGCTGCGGCTGTGGCGTCCCACTTGCGGCTATATTTTTGAAGTTTTCGCCAGTTGTGAGCCAGAAAAAGTGTAACTGTGGCCCGGCGGCGCAGTCCCCGGAATCCACGCACACACAGACAGCTGTAATTACGCGGCTGGAGTTTTGCTCCATGCTGCCACAGTTGCTGTCCCAGTTGGTGCCACAGTTACTGCCACAATTCCTGCCCCCATCCTGTCGCCATCATCATCAACTTCCGCCTAAGTAAACACATGATTTCTCAGGCAGCAGCAGCAGCGCGGCGTTTGTTTAAAAACGCATCTAAATTGCAAATTAAGCAACAAATTTCATCAACAATATTTGAATTTGAATTTAAATGCGGCAACGAGTTGTCGACTTGAGAATCGCAGCATACCAAAGAGAGAGAGTGATAGAAAGACGAATGGAGCGGCAGAAAGGGACGGCAACAACCAGCAAACACACAAAACCCCAAATGTAAAATTCGTTTGCCGAAAGTGCGATAGAAAGCGAGGGCTAAGGATGGTTCCGAGGAGACTTGGGATTGCACTGGATGGATGCTGCCGCTGCTGCTGCCTCTGCTGCCCGTAAACACCGAAAATACAACAATGGCGCCAGTTCGCTTCCCTCACAGAGAATTCCCCTACCAAGTCTCTCTCTCTCGACTGCCCCGGCAGCTGGTTTGTGTATTTGCTTGTTTGTTTGTCAAAAGAAGCAATTTACGTGCAAAATAACTCAAGTGTCATGCAAATTTCATTTATTTTTCGCAAGAAGCAAAGCGAGAAAAAGACGAAATTATTCCCGGGCTACGTTGTCATAGAGCTAACGGGCTCTTCGCTCTATAGCTATGGCTACAGCCGCACTCCTAGCCTCTGCCTCTGCCTCACAGCCTCAGCCTCAGCATCAGAGCCTCAGCCTCAGCATCGTCTATATATGGTGATTCCTTACAAAATTCGAGCATAATGAAGTCACTTGGCGGCAAACCTTCGTCGTTCTTCTGTCTGTCGCTTTTCTCTCAGGCCAAAAGCTATTTTGATTTATTTTTTTCTTTCACTTTTTTTTTTTTTGATTTTTTGCTTTTTAGGTATTTTATTTTTTTCTTTTTTAGAAAATTAGAGTAGAACGAGCTTCTTGATTTCCCATTGAAGTGCGGCGCAAAGGAAAAATAATAATACATTTTGCTGCTCGGCATTTAATTTAATTCTAATTTTATTTATAAAATGTGAAGTGAAGTTTGAGGTGGGCGGAACGGGCCGGATGGGGGGCGGGCACTTGTAGCTTAAATGAAGTTTGCTAAGTACTTTCCAACAACAACAACAACAACCCTGAGTACGCGTACTTCAGGTTTGAAATTTCATTATTTTCGTATTATTCGCACACAAGTGCCATCATGTGCTCGAGAAGGCAGAGCCAAGGAGGGTGCTGGGCCCTGGCCAGAGATGGTGAACAGAAAATAAAAATTTCTAATTTTCCCAAGCGGCGTGGGAAATGACAGCCGCCCGCCCGATGCGGACATCGGTTCAGTTATACTAAACGCACTCGTAGAAGGTATAGAAATTGTACACTTACCGGCATAGTTTGACTTCCGTGTAGATTGGCTATTGCTGACTGAGCCTCCTGTTGCGTGCCGAATTTGACGAAAGCGCAGCCTGTAAATGAGATATACAAGACGTTGATTAGCATTCGGGAATGGATGGGGGCAATAAATCGTGAAGTACGTAATATAGTTGATCGTATGCATAACTAACTGTGTCTGGTAAACTCAATTGTTTCCACATCCTGTGCGAAAATCAACTGAAATTTCCACAATATTGAATATTGAATTTAAAAATCAGTAAAAATTCCATAAAGACCAATTGAGTGGTGTTGAGTGTGGGGTGTGGGGGGGTGGATGGGTCTGGAGCGTAAGCTGATGCAGCTTCAGATACTCGTACAGCCGCGACGCTTTCGGTGGCATGTGTGTGGGGCATTTAAATAAAATTTTAAGTGCAATTAAAAAACATTTTTGCAAGAATCGCTTCGTGCACTCTTGCATGAAAATCAACATGGACATAGGGTGGCAGGGGGGCCATGGCATACTCGCCCATCAACGCCCATTATATAAAAATAATAGTCGGCCTGCGTTGGACTGGAATGGAATGGAGGGAATGTAAAATTCAAACCGAAAAATATACAAAAAAAATATACGCTGCACTTGCGCGCTCATTATATTGTAATTTGGGTGCCAGCTGCTGGTTGGAGGCTGGGGCTGGGTCTTCAGGGCCCGGCTTCAATGGCATAATTATTAAAAATCATTTATGCTAATTTAATATACAGTAATAACCACAAAAAGTAAGGACTTTCCTGGGGGATTCGAGGGCGGGCAGGGAGAGGGGCAGAGCCGGAGTAAGTGCGGTTTATGCCACATGTAAGCTGGTGCTTGAAAGCGATTTTAAAATGCGGTAAAAGCGGAGCGGCTCAAGTATTGTTTTACAGTTGTAAATGGAGAACAAATTAAGAGTTCCATCAGTGGCAGGTGCGCTACACTATGCACCTGGATAGTTGCGATTTTTTAATAATATATTCTCGGCCTCTATGCACACTTTCTCTGGGAAGTCTAGCTTATTTATCTTCTGTTTCGCCAACAAAACAGAGCCATGGAATTAATTAGGGCTTCTGCCGCTCACTCCCTGAGCTTAACCTTTGCTCTTCGCTTGTTTTTTCTGTTCTTTACGCAACAACATCAACAATGTTGAAAATTAAGACCCTCCAGCATACACCCCGGAGTATGGGGCCAGGGCTATCCGTTTGAAAAACCCTCCCAAATGTCTAATTCCCAAACCCTTAGCACAGGCCCGGCCCGGCGAGGGTTCGGAATGGATGGGTGTCCAAATTGCGGCTTGGGCTCTTGCCTCTGCTCCTGCTGCTGCTGCTGCTCTGCTTGTTCTGGTTGCCCTGGTTGTATCTGTTCTGTTGCCTTTGTAGTTGACGCTATTCCAGAAGGGAGTTTTAAGGGAGTGGTGGCAAGGCAGAGGCAGAACAACAGAACAAATCCCGCCTAAAACCATGCAACATGCGAGCTGACAAGCCGAAAGGCAGACAAGCGCAAATTTCGCGTGCAAACAGCGCGAAGAGCTGGAAGCAATCCCCTTTTCCTCTTCGTTTTATTTTTTTTTATTTTTTTTTTGGATTCCTCTCACAGAAAATGTACAAAAAATAAAGTGTAAAAAATTCAAGTGGAGTTTTGTTCGTCCCGCCTCGTCTGTGGACTCGACTCTTGTGTATTTTATGTTTTGTGTGTTGAAGTGACAACAAAATCCAGAATTTCTCTGTCCCATACAGCGGACAGGCGCGTAGGCGGACAGACGGACAGGCGGATAGGAGGGGCAAGGACAGGGACACAAGAGTGCAAATCAGCGTTGCTAAACAATAAAAAATAAAATATTTTGTTGCCTGTTAATCCACACACACACACACACACACACACAGCTGCAAAACAGAGAAGAAAAAAAGCGACAGAGAGCGAACAACGAAATGGAAAAACAACAGAAAATAACACACAACAACAAAAAAAGCTAAAAAAGCAACACAATTGCTAAGCATTTTTGTAAACTTAAATCAAAGTTGATTTTGTGTTCCTTTTTCTGTTTTTTTTCGTGTTTTTCTGTCCTTTTTTTTGTTGTGTTTTGTGTGTTTTTCTTTTCGTTTTTACAATTTTTTTTTTTTAGGGGGAGACTTCTTTATGTTTATGTGAAATATTGTATATTTTTCTTGGCATAACTTTTCTGAGCCAAAAGTTTTTGGAACATTGTGGAGGCTTAAACTGTTGTACGTAGCAGTCCCACCTATGTGATGCCCCCAAATGATATCTGAAAATGCTTTATAAATGTTTCCTTTGTTACGTCAGGGCAGGGGTAAGTTCTTTATCTCATTTCGTATTTATTGAAAAGTATCACGGGGCTCCTTCTGCCCAACCCGCCTCCTGCTACAAGGCAAACTCTGGTACTTTCATATTCATTAGCGTTTTGGACAAACACTAGCAGAACATGGCTGGCCATCCAGCTAATTTGTGTATCTTTTAATGGAGTTGGATTCCAAGGATGATGTCTCGGACTTGGACTTGGACTGAATGGTTCCATTTGACTATTTACCTTTTTCCGGCGACGTTCGCCTAACTATCGTCAGGGATAATTTGTGAGTCGAACTTGGAGTCATTATATTAATTAAAAGCAAATTAGCCAGCCAAAGAGGTGACTCAGACGGAAGTCCGAGTGAGTCGGAGCTCATCAGTTCAGTTAGCTCGACTTTTGCTTTGATGTGATGTAGTCGCCAGTGCTCGCAGAAGAAGTCAAATTCAATTTGCATACAAATCAAGCCAAGGCAGCGGCCAACACTCCTGACAATTAGCGCAACAGGACAGGACAGGTGGCAGGACAACGCTCCTCCTTAAAGCTAACAAAGTGCAACGCTTTAATTACTTAACTGCCAGAGAGATGGTTGGAGATCTCCCTCTCCCTCTCTCTCTCTGTCTTTTTGAATCCCTGATTCTCAGCAATTAGTTGAAATTAAAATGTGAGAGCGAGTGCGCCAAGTTTTCAGCGTCTTGTGCAACTTCCGGTGAAGCGTGAAGCGTGAAAAGTGCAGGAGACAGCGGCAGGAGACTGAAGACTGCAGAGATGAGCAGTAGAGCTGAGCTGAGCCTAATGACACTTTTTAATCAAATATGCTAATGATAATGCTAAAGTTGAGCTGTCATTAAAATTATAGTCGGGCAAAAGTTGTTGCTTGCCAGAGCCCCTGCCCTGCCCCTCCCATGGCTTCCTCAAGCAAAAGTTTACTTGTATTTGCAGCATTAGAGAAATAGTACTCATAATAATGGGTTTTCTCCGTATGTCCACTGTACGAGTATGGCTGTACTTTTCCATTTGGCTATCGGGCGACATTTGGCCCTAATGGGTCAATCTCTGTCTGACCATACAAAAAGTATGGTACGACAATTGAGTTGCACGAGATTTCATGCAAACACATGCGATTATGGTATTTATGGGTCTGCATGGGGGAGGGCGCTCTGGAGCGGAGTATTCATGCCTGGCCACAACTTGCACATTTGCAATACAAATTTGCAATGCCATTAATGTATGGGAAACCCCAATTCTCCCCCTGGTCACAGCAACAAAAAAAATACCCCAAAATGCCTTGCCATGAAAAATCGCCGATGGTCAAACACGTAACCAAATTGTGCACAGCAGCAGCAGCGGCAGTGGCATTGGCAGTGGCAGTAGGATCAGGGGAAGAAACAGCACCAGAACCAGGAGCAGCAGCAACAGCAGGAAACAAGGATAACGAGCGTGTTGAGGCCCCCCCGCAACCGCCGTCCCACTCTGTTAACGGGGTTTGGGTCGATATGTTGGCCTTGTCGGCTGGAAGGATTGTCGAAGCAGCAGTAAGGGCAGCGGCAGGCTCATGTTATGGCCTCTGCCTCCGCCTGCCTGTGATGCCTGATGTTGCCTGCTGCCGCTCCTGCTGCTGCTGCTGCTGCTGCTGCTGTTTCTGTTGCTGCATGGGACAAGTATTTTAAAATCCAATTAAAAACGCCCTAGTGGGATTTTTCAATCGCTGCTACTACTGCTGCTGCTGTTGCTGTTGCTGCCTTCGATGTTGACAAGGGGAGGAGACAGGGATGGCTGGACAGGCATCAGCAACAAAGTTGCATTAAGCGCGCGACATTCGTTGGCCGCCGGTCGCGTCACAGTCATTTGTCGGAGAGAGTACCGACGACCGAGCATGGGTCCAGAGATGAGAAGCGAGTATGAGGATGTGACTGGACCACGTTGATGGCCATTGCATGTTTGCCTCTTGGGCGCAAGAGCGTAGCATGAATCTTGTTAGCCAACGTTTACGCTTATTATGCCCCGGCAAGGCTATCGAATTTGTTTGATGCATGAGGAAGGATGCTAGGATGGATACTGGCCTTGCCTCGCCACTCCATTCATCTGTGGATGGATGCCACTGCCACTGAAAATTGCATTTGTGGCACGGCACTCGCAGTTGAATGCATCTCATGCCAAAAGAAATCGAATAAACTCATTCGAATGCAACATATGATGTACCGGACAGGTACAGGTAACTAATGTCGTTTCAAGTCACTCCAACAAGCACACAGAGCAGACATATGTGTCCACAAAACTTTGACCAGCATTTCTAATCAAGTTTATCGCAGAGGCAGAACTTATCAATATGGCCAACTACCAGTACGAACACGAGCACTGCCAAACACAAACTCAAACACAACTGTGAACCCAGCCGCCTGAAATTGAACTCTGCCAGGCATGAGGCCCCAGCACTTTGCATACAAATCATACAGAGTCCATTGGGGTCTATGTCCATCCCATCTACCATCTAGCATCTCTCATCTCTCATCCCCCAGCACACACTCACACAATCTCTCACGTGCAATGTCGACATGCCCAGTGGGAGCATTATTCTTGATTTTGGCCAGTATGAAGGGGGTGGGGGGTGACGGGGAGAGACGGGGAGAGACGGAGAAAGAAAGAAACTTTCAACTACCTTTTGCCAGTTGATAAACAACGAAACTTTGGTTGGACAAAGGCCTAAAGCATTTTGAGGATTTGCAACTTTAGTAAATAACATTTCGGCTCAGAGTCACTTC